TACTTTTTTTTTTTTTTTTTTTTTTTTTTTTTTTTTTTTTTTTTTTTTTTTTTTTTGTAGTTTTAAATGTTCAGAAATAGTAAGATATAAATTTTCGAAAACATATTTATTATTTTTTTAATGAACCAAGATAGAACACAATTTTGATGAATTAGCTATTCTTTTTCATTTAAACCTAAAATTTCATTTATCCAAAGATAAATAAATTAAAAAAAAAACGTTAATTTATATTCCAAAGTTCTTACGAAAGTTTGAGCTTTAATATACAATTATTTGTCAAGATTTTTAATTGATATAACTAAATAAAGGGTATAAATTTATTTATTTATTTTCTCTAAATTATATTATTGAGAGAGAATTCGTTAGACCTGCAAATGGCATAATAAGTTTGTCATACACAGTAAAAGTAACTCAACTTTGAAACACAGTAACTTGAAGCTAAAGCTAGTTAGGAAATGATATGAGTTTAGGAAATGATATGAGTTTATAATTAAAAAATACTCTCTTTGGTAGAGGTCTTTTGAGAAGCCTAAAGCAAAGATATAAGAGATTATGCTGAAAGTAGATAATATCATACCATTGTAGACCGTCGTGTTTATCTAACATAATATCAGAGTCATGTCAATAGATCAGTAAATTCTCAAATGGAGAACAAAAGACTCCAAAAGAAAAGGAGTCAAGCTTCCTCGAAGGTATAGTAAAAAATTACTAAGACTCCAAAGGAGTCAAGCTCGATTAAGGGGAGACGTACTTTATTTGAGGGGAGGTGTTGGATGATGAAAGTCTCACATCGACTAATTTAAGGAATGATCATAGATTTATAATCAAAGAATACTCTCTCATTGGTATGTGACCTTTTGAAAAGCCCAAAGCAAAACCATAAGAATTTAGACTCAAAGTAGACAAAGTAGACAATTGTTCGATTCTAAATTCTAAACTTTTAAGGAAATATTGATGTCTGAGAAACTGATAAACATTGCAGAAGTTCATTGAATGCCAGCAGCAAAGGGAGGAGTGTTCTTCAATTTCTGCTCCCCCACTGCACTACACTACACGTGAACTCCTTCTGTCGGGTAGCAACTAAAACCCTACTGCACTTTTGTTCTTTAGGCAGACAACAAGAGAGAGAACCATTTTACCTAAATAATTTCCCCATTTCCCATTCACTTGGGACTATTATCCTCCTTTCACCCCTCCCTCAAAAGACAACAAAAGAGCGCTGAAAGGTCAGGGGTGAAAGAAACTTAACAAGCATTGATAATCATATAGAGAGACTGATTGTTACTTACAGAATCACTTATTAGAGTGCAATGCTGCCTTGGGTTGGGAATCCACAAACAGAAAGGTCTTCTGTCAGTCGATTTCCCTCTTCGAGCGGTTCGTTGTCCCAACCATTTTTCTAAGTTCCGATCCTGACAAGGAAAAAGAATTTCTGAAAAACGAAGTCATGGACACGTAGGTTCAGAACTAGACCATCTATAAACCCGTTACTGATACAAATAACATAAAGAAATATAACCAGCATATATGGAAAAAAGTAACCCCAAAGATTTAGGACTAAAAGCGGCCCTAGAGTCGAGACCCTTGAACTCTAGAAAAATCTGCAAAAGATCCGAACATAATCAGAATATTGTTTTTACAAATAAACCCACTAAACCGAAAATGCTCTAAATTCATTTCATTCCATTTATCTGGAAAAGAAAAGGATCTGGAGAACCTATCAAACAGGGTCTTCTAATACTTTTAATTTTAAGATAAAAAAAAAAAAAATTAAAAAAATCATTAAATAGCATAGAAAATTCAAGCAGCTTCAGTTACATGTCCTACTATCCAATATTTTAATAACAATCTATTAAATAAATGGATACAGAATTTCCCAATCTTACGTTGTTGGCAAAATATCCAACTGGAAAATGACCGCTCGACTTGAAAATGATTTTCAACCTTCCTCCACCTCTATGGAATGCAACATTTATCAACACCTGAAAGCACGTCGACTATAAATGCATCTACCTACCATTGCAACACAACACATGAAGATAAAAATGTGTCCACTTGTCACAATCACACTTTTTTTAGCAGACTTTTATTCTTAGCAGCAAGTGAGTCTAAGCCAATTTGTATTCACGTCACCTACGGTCGGGCAACGTATGCTCAAGTCTCTGGCCCCGATTTATGAGAAGGTTTTAAAACAGAGACATAGAGATTTTGAAGGGAGTTTGAAAGCAATGTTATATGGCATACAAGCAAAAAGCAACACAACGACTTAAGTCAGGAAGATAAATCCACTCATGACAAGGGACAATGCTCTTAAATTTTCAAAATGTCAGACCCAAAGATTCAGCAATTCAAAATTTGATCTATAAGAGTAAAAAATATGTACCTCCGTACGTATAAGATCCAATGCCACAGTTCATTTAAAGTTTCAGAAGTTGTTGAGTTTACTTGCCAACACATGTGAACCTTCAAAATGGGCCGTGGATCATGTGAGGTGAATCAGATGTACCTCTTCCTACATTAAAAACTAACCTTTATTCCATTTACACCATAAAGTGCCCACTGCATACTAAATCATCTGTCACCAACATTTCCAACAAACTTCGCAGTCTATTTCTCCTCCTTTAGCATCTCTACCACTTCTTCTATCCTTTTGGCTTTTGCATTATCAAACAGCAATGAAGAAATTCCCACTTGTGGCTCAAACTTTACTTTTCTGGATTTTCTTCATCATACTAATGATTGGAAGACGGCTTGATGCATCGACTCGCTGGGATCACAGTAAGAAAAATAATCATCTATGTGGTTATTGTCAACTTATTTTGCTATTCTAGTTGCTGGGAAAATGCATTCATATCCCTATAGTGCATACATCACCATTTTTCTCTGATTTAGAAAGCCATGGCATCTAAGCCTTTTAAGTGTATGATATTTCAGTGAGATTTAATGCAGAAGATACTCACAGACCAGTCGGCAGTTCAACGCACCAGGAGGTACTGTGTTTTCTTCGTCTCCTCGCCACTTCGTATCAAACATTTTGTGAGAAAATAAATGTATCTGAGACAAGAATAGAAAAAACATGAATAATAGATGCTCGACGAACAAGACGAACCATGACAACATGCTAACAGGAAAGAACTTAATTCAGTTTCCTTGCCATGTATGCCTGTGCAGGAAAAAACTGAAGAAGCACTTGGTATGGAGTTATACCCTACAGGATCCAGCCTCCCAGACTGTTCCCATGCATGTGGACCATGTTTTCCGTGCAAAAGGGTGATGGTGAGCTTCAAATGCTCTGTTGCAGAGTCATGTCCCACTGTCTACAGATGCATGTGTAAAGGGAAATATTATCACGTACCCTCCAATTGAGCATAAATTCAATCTGGAGGAGTATGCAGCAAAGAACAAAGCAATTAATGATTTGGTTAGCACTTGCACTGAAGTGGTGACTAAGGATACATTGAAGACTAAGACTAAAATCTCTGTTGATTTCATTTGGGTTCATTTCCTTGTACTGGGATCATTCTGTACAAGAAAATAACTCAGAAAACACATTTTTTCGAGCATCGGGAAGTTCAATTAGGAAGTGAGAAGTCGGTTTTTTTCTAGTTTGTTCGTGTGCAATATCATTTCCTTTGTTCTAGTTCTACTTGAAATGAGATCTGGTCTATCCTGCTCCCTACCTTTCTAGATTTCCAAGTTGAATGGAGATTACAAAACAAACCAAGAAACTTCATTCAATTCACCCCAAAAACATATTCATTCTGCATGAACTCAAGAATCTTCGGTTCACTTCAGGTCGAAGGAAGGAATAAGGAAGAGTTCATATGGATATGGTCAAAAACTACTCGATCAAACAAGTGATTTTCTCGCCTACTACATATCCCAATCCATAATCCCAATTGTTATGGGAATTCGTGGTCTTTGAAAACTACCATCTAAAGAAGAGGACTTTCAAATAAAACAATCAGTGGGGTAGTTACAGCCTTAAAGTTACAAGCTAATCTGATCAAGAAAGTGATTAATTGGGTGAAAATTTTCTTGATGAGATTGCGTGGCTGGAAATTATCAGATAGCAAAAAGAAAATCCTTGATCAATAGATAAGCAAACGGAAGAGTGTCCTATCATATAGAGCAAGCAACAGTTAACAGAGATTATGCAATTCAAACAGATATTAAACAACTGCACAAACTAAAACCACTCAACACACATTCTATATCAAATGGGTTTTACTTTTAGATCTCAAGCTCACTAGTAGGCATTGAAAAAGCTGGCAATTGACAATGGAAATATGGTGAGAGAATCATATCTATCCATATAACAGATTACATCAATATCCAAACGAAAATCCAGTCTACCCGAATCAGAATGATAGCAGACAAAGGGATCGATCATCAATACGAAATTCCCGTGTAATTATAGCCGCTACTAGCCAAATAAACTGCAGGAAAATCCAATTCATGACAACAACAAAAATAATCACGAACGTTTACGATTATCCAGGCGATCGAAATCGAGAAACGAAATGCAAACTTTCATTTGGTAAACTGGTGACCAATATACATCCACCTACGACGATTCGAATTAAATATCGTATCGTTCGTCGAGCAGATTCTGATATCGGTGACTTCGACGAAAAAATTGAGTGTAAAGAGATAATCTGACAACCAATACGATTCAAGAAGAAGAAAAAGAAGAAAGAAAGAAAGAAACACGCACACACTCAAATTCAGTAACCTTTCGAAACATCATCTTTACACCAGAATCCGCACTATCAACTGACTCTACTGGAAGCATCCCCGCCGTTTCCCCTAGAGCAGCAAGGGCTTCCATTCCCGTGATGGTGATTCTCATCATCCTCTTGATCGCTATCGTCCTCGTCAAAGTGCTTCTGCTTGTGGAATATACAGCACTTCTTCGAGCTTTTCTTCTGCATGAACTCGTTGTCGACGGTCCCCTCCTTCCACGAGACCTTCTTCTTCTTCCGATTGAGACGGAGCACTAGGGTTTCGGGTGGTTGAGAGGAAGAGGATCCGTTGGCCAAGATGACGGTGGTGGTGAGTGAAGGGGAGGAGGCCGTTAACGCTCCGGCAGCGGTCGTCGGTGCCCTAGCCATCTCTGAGCAAAGAAATCAGTTATCGGAATATGAATTGTTGAGAAAGACGGAGCCTGCGATGGCTTCTCCTTTTAATTCCCCACCAGACCGAAAAATCAGTTCCCGCGTATCTCGAACCTCGCCGCCAATGATGTTCGAATATTCCATTATTATTATTATTATTATTATTATTATTATTATCTAAAATTTTAAATTAAACAAATAATTTTTTATATTTAAAAAAAAAAATTACGAATTTATGGTAAATCTAAAAAAATTGAATTTTCTACGTTTTTTCTTTTTCAGGTCAACTGAAATGCTAAATTGGTTCGTGAATTTAACTCAAAGCTGCATGCTTATACTCAAATTTTTTTTACTGTTAATAATATACGATATTTTAAAGTTGATCAAAGGTTTGACTTAATTGAATGAAATTATACGAGTTTTAATTTTTTATTACAAAAATACCCCTTCAATCAAATATGAATACTACGATCATTAAAAGGGGATCTTAAACGACGAAAGAGTCCACTATTGTATATACACACTCCTGAGGTTGTTAAGAACTAAGGGATGATACTCTTATTTCAAGTGGGTATGCCAACAAAGCTACGAGTACTCGATCAAGTGGGTCTAAGGGCACTCGATCATGCGGAGGAGCTGTTTTATTTCATGTAATGTCTTCCGAAAGGGAAAAAATTCTTATTTAGGGTTCCAAACGTACACCCATAAACACAAATTTAATATAGAAACTTTTAAATTTGTATCCGTTTGGTCCTTGAGTTTTAAATAATGTTTAATAGGTCACTAAACTTTCATTTTTGTGTCCAATAAGTTTTCGAGTGCCGACATATTATAGTCATAAAATTAAATTTTATGTACAGCAAAAATATTAAATCTTCAATTCTAAAATATCGTAATTAATTATATTTTATATATTTTAAAATTTAATTTTATGTAATTAATTATAATTTTTTAATGTAAAATATCTTACATTTGGTGAAGGAATGAATTAAACATCCAAAATTTGGATGGCGAATTTGCTTTAAGCTTGTGGACGAAAACGAGTGAAGGGCAAGTGGCGGTCGTTTCGCTTCGATGATATAATAAAATCGAGATCCAGGGCGCGGCGCTGTGGACTGGGGAGAGATAGAGAGAGAGAGAGAGTGAAGCTGCTGCTGCTGCTCTGAGTGCCGAAGTTTCCGACGAATAGCGGCGGAGGAAGCTCTACCATGGCGCTCCATTCCAGTTTCACCGCTGTTGGATACGCGAATCCAGTTTCTTCGTCTAGGCAACGGCAACGGCAACCAGTTCACCTCCCTTACGTTTTGAACAGTTCAATCTTGTATACTCGTCACTGTCGAACCCTACGTTTCCCGTGTTATGATGTTTCTCCCTCACTGAAGGCTACGTTTTCTCGTGCATTAACTGTATGATCCAATGTTTTTTATTCTTTTTTAATACAAGCTGGCTTGGCGATTGATCTCGCATGCAGTGAATGTTATCAGTGTTAGTGGTGTAATTTAGTCGAATTGAATGAAAGATGGATGCGTATTTATTCATTTACTTATTTTGGTGAACTCCGGGATAAATAGAATGTAAACTGGAGTTGCTAATTTCTCCAACTTAATTTACAATTAAACACGTTTTAGTTGCTGTATGTACAATGTTCTGTTCTGATCGTCGGGAACTCACTTCATTTGATCCCAACAACGTTTTGGTTAATTGTGTGGTTTGTTAATTTTTCGATTGAGCTTGGTTGTGTATGTTGGCAGGTTACGTCTCATGCAACACCAGAGCCTCTCAGAGTCATGATATCTGGTGCTCCCGCTTCCGGTAAAGGCACACAATGCGAACTTATTACTCAGAAAGTAAGCAATTTCAACAATTGAGCCTCCGCCAAGCATTTCTTTTCTCTTGGCTCTTACTGATTTGGAATGTACTCGTTTTCTTTATTATTTACGGAAAAAAGAGTATCAAGTGTAATTCAATGTGTGTTGAAATTGATTAGTTCCCAAATCATTGAACTTGTATTCATTTTTCTTGATGCCTATATATCCTCTGAAATCTTATATGTTTTGACCCAACCTATCTGTTTTCTCTTCACTCGCACTTTATTTTTTGTTATTGCCATTTTCTTAATAACCTACAATCTTTGTTTGTGCTCCCATAAATTTCTCATTTCTTGATTGCCCGTAGAGAATAGCAGATTGAATCAAGTCATTCTCCTATGTGCAGTATGGTTTGGTGCATATCGCTGCTGGAGATTTACTTAGGGCAGAAGTCAATAGTGGCAGCAAAAATGGGAAGCTAGCAAAAGAGTATATGGAGAAAGGACAGTTAGTCCCTAATGAAATAGTTGTGCTGGTAGGAAAATCTATAATATTGTTTTGGCATTTGGTAATTTTCATCTGTAACATTTCTGTCAGTATCTTGTAGATGGTAAAAGAGCGGCTGTCGCAACCTGATTCTCAGGAAAATGGTTGGCTCTTGGATGGTTATCCCAGGAGTCATTCTCAAGCAGTTGCTCTTAAGGAACTTGGCTTTGAGCCTGATCTTTTCATTCTTCTTGAAGTAAGGGTTGTTTATTGATGCTGATTGAAATTTCAAATTTTGCACTTTTACATTGAATTGCCAACACTGAGGAGTGATGTGTACTGATTGTTCTTTGTTTATGGTTGGGTTTCTATCAGGAGAAAAATATGAATTCAATGTCGACAGATTGATTTGGATTGCATGTGCAGATATGATCTTGATTTTTGGTATTTTGAATTTTTATGATGTCTAGTGGACCAGCATAACTTTTAGGAAAATGCCGCTACCTTCTGTGAATTGTATGCTAAGGCGATTATAGCTTTTGTTATTGTCTAGTCTTAAGAAATGTGTTATCAGAGCTTCAAGACCAGAACTTACAATAACTTTCTCGTGTTATTGTAGGTCCCAGAAGAAATTCTTGTTGAGAGAGTTGTTGGAAGAAGAATGGATCCCGTTACTGGTAAGATATATCATTTGAAGTATTCTCCACCCGACACACAAGAAATTGCTGCCAGACTTACACAGCGCTTTGATGACACTGAAGAAAAGGTATTTTCTTTAATACTTTATTTAACTTGGTCTATCATTTCAACTTATTCTCTATGGTTGTGTATATGTTTCATAAGGTTTTGTTTAGATCATTCACGGGCAAGCCTTTAATCTCCATATTCTATTTTTTCCTGTTTCCGAGAAATTACGTGGGTGAAGTATTGACTGTGTTCCCTGCAATTGAATTGATTCAGGTGAGGTTGAGATTGAAAACTCATAACCAGAATGTGGAGGATGTTCTTTCCATGTATCAAGATGTAACAGTTAAGGTATGTAATCTAGCCCCCATCATCCGCCATACCCCTCATTGGGGCAGACAGAAAAGGGAAAGGAAAAAGAGAGCGAGAGAGAGGGAGAGAAAATGTAGCTTAGTGGGTAGCCTAGTTCATTCTTTAATTTTTGGAGGAAGTCTGTGGTAAAAGCCTTAATTTTACTGGAGAACCTAAATAACTGAAGACATTTTGAAATTGATCAATTTTCGCTCATCACAGTTTCTTTAGACTATTATTATAAAAATAAAAAAAAGAATTACTGATTTGTATAGTAAGTACCAATTGACTCAAATCGTTCTGCATCAGTTAATTGGTATAATACTTGAGGTCCTTCAGTGGTCTCCTTTTTTGTGGGTTTGTTCATTATTCTCCCTACTTGTGGGCTTGTTTTTTTTGGATGCCTGTGTATTCTTTCTTTTTTTTCTCAATGAAATGTTGTTTCTCATAAGAAAAATACTACTGATGAACTATTTTTCTCCTCCTCAGGTGAATGGAAGTGCGCCAAAGACAGATGTATTTGATCAAATAGATAGACTGCTAGCAGGACTTCTAGAGCAACGGAAGGATGCTATAGAATCTCTGGCCGCATAGATAACTGTGCAGCATGGTTAGGTCCCTTTTCAGTATGTGAGGTTACATTCTCGTCAAATGGAAATTTTGTTGTTATCATTTATTCTTTCTTTCGGTGGGTAGTGAAGGTGTCCCCTATCTATTACTTTGCATTTGTACTATGGCTCTCTACAGAAGCAATAAACATGTGAAAATAGCATTATGTAGTTATGGGTGGCTTGAGACGAGAAAAACCTGTTCTTTATTTTTTTCTTCTTACTTTATTGTGCTATATCAATAGAATGATTGAATGAATTGAAATTTTAAGGAAGAGCAATGAAGTTTTAGGACTTTCTGCTTCATTTTCTGAGGTAATTTGTATGGTAAGCATATGATTTTTTATTTTGTAGTGTAAGATGATTTGTATGGTAAGAGTTAAATGGAAACTGGATTGATTGTGTAATGGAGAAAATTATCACTGAAGCAAATGTCATCAAGAGATGAATTACCTACCATAAACTGTTAATTTGGAATCTTTACATAAATTGATATTATCAGCTTTTAATATTATAATAAGTTTGATGGAATTAAATTGAAAAAATGGTTTGAGAAACCTCCTACTCTTATATGTCTTGTCATACATAATACTAAATGTTGCGTCTTGATAGACTGTAGCATCTCTTTTGGATTAAAATCACGACTTGAAGAACAAACCAAAAGAGGGGGAAAACCCCATACTTTTCGATGTAACTCTCCGGTCTCTCCTACTATTTCAGCGAGCTGAGATAGTATGTTATGGGTTGAGAATTTTAGGGACCAAAATAAGGAATGTGTATTATTTGAGGGACAAAAACATTAGTTCTAACTTTTAACACAATTGTAAATTATACTTACTTTTTGGTGGTAGGTGCAGTTAATAATTTATGATTGTAACTATTTTAAGAACAATAGGAGATACTGATGGTGGTGAGCGTCTGGAACCCTCTTCTGTTATGAGGGGTTCTCCAGCCACTTGTACTTCCATTTTCTTTGTTCCTCTTTCTTCCATTCAGAGTCTCTTAGTTTTATCTTCTTTATATAGAAGATTAAAATTCCTTAGAAAGTAAATTCTTCTATTGGAGAATCTTGCATGGGAGAGCGAACACATAAGATCATATCCAGCGGCATAAATCTTTGTACTTTGGCTACAATAGTTTGTTCTTTGCATATGTCATGAAGAGGATCTAAACCATCTCTTATGGGACTGTCAGTTTACTCATTCTTTTTAGAATTAGTTCTCTAGTTCGTTTGGTGTTGTGTGGGTGCATATCAGGAACTGTCGCTCGTTGATCAAGGAGATTCTGATGTACTGTCCCGTTCGTGACAAGGAAAGAGTGTTGTGGAAGGCATGTTGTTTTATGATTTGTTAGGGCCCGACTTGAGAAGAATAATATCAGTTTTTAGTGGGGTTGAAAGATCTTTAGGTAGGCTTGTGAGGTGGAGGTTTTTCATTTTTTCTTCTCTGATCCCTCCTATCTCTTGCCCATGTGTCTCTTCTTTTCTTTGCAGGACAACAAGATCTCCTCGTGCAGAAGGGAATGGTGTGTTGGATCTAACACACAGTTTCCAAAGAAATCTGCTGTTTGTAAGAATTGAAACGTACATCAAATTTGTTGTAAACATGCCTGTAGATATTCACATTGACACCATTGCTTGCAGGGAGGTGGTTGGTGGATGGATTGTTGAAAAGCAGCATCTAATACCATTTCTCATACGCAGTATGATCTCTTCCATGTTTCTACTACGGTCCGAGTGATCTCATCAAGGATACTGTAAATTTTCACTTACACTCTTGATCAGTAAAATACAAGACTTGATAATTTTCTGATGTGATACTTCCAACTTGAAAGTTGGAACATGTTCTTGATAGCACATGTAGTTACATATAACAGAAACTTTGTTCTTTTAAATGGTGAGGAAGATAACTTTAGCTGTCTTCAAAAAAGAAAATTCTCTTATGCACACTTCATTTGATGAGCTCTACAAATATATTATCCTTAGTTTTATGCTAAGGTCCGACTGAAAACTCGGAGCTAGCTAATTGGGCACAGGTTATGGCTGCAAAAATCTCAAGTGCTTTGATCATTACAGCAAAGACTAATCTTACATTCTTGTTGAAGAACTAAACAAAATCCTTACTGTTTTTATTTGAATTGTTGTTCAGGGACGTCGAAGAAGAGTAGGGATCAGCGTCTAACAGCATCTTCACTACCTCTCTCATTGAAGGGCGAAGTGATGGAAGCTTTCTTGTGCAAAGTACAGCAATCTTCAGGACTTTAATCATGTCATTTTGGACGACTTCAGATGCAACTTTGATGTCCAGAAGCTTGAGGACATTGTCACGGCCATCGAGGTGTGTTGAGACCCAGTAGACAATATCTTTTCCTTCTCCATATTTATCTTCTATTGGTCTCCTTCCAGTAATCAATTCTAATAGCTCCACACCATGACTGTACACATCACTCTTTTCTGAAACTTTTGGAGTATATGCTAGCTCTGTAGAGGAAAGTTGTTACAGAAATTAGTTCAGTCTTATTTTCATGTTCAACTTGAATCTGATAATGTTGAACAAAAAGCACAATACATCTGTATCAATAGAGAAGAAACAAGTTAAGCTTCGAGTTACTTCTTACAAAAGAAGAAAGATGCCAAGTTGCGCCGTCAAAGTGCCTATGGTACCAATTCATATTTGGTTACCCGAAGCAGATCAAAATGAAACCTTGGTCTTTCAACTTCATAAAATCAACAGTTGAGTCTCTAAACTTATATAATTCATATATTTTAATTTTTTTATGATTTAGTCCTTAAACATTTGTATATAACAATTTAGTCACTATAATTTCAAACTTTTGACAATTTAGTCTCTATTGTGATAAATTTCATTGATATAAGTGTCATTTTTTATTACGTAAACGAACTAGTCTTTATAGCTTATAAACAAGTTTCATCCATAAATTAGTTTATCAATCTACACATGTAAATTTTTTTGTTTTATTGTTACAAATTGTAAAGTATTAGGAATAAATTGTTCCTTATTAAAGCTGAGAGACTAAATTATTACAATTTTAAATTTTCATCATTATAAACTTAGGTTTAGGGACTAAACTGTTACTTCCATGAATGAAGTGTTTTATTAACTAGCTACTAATGTGTGAATGTTAGGATATAAATTTTGTTGCAGAGAGAAAGGTCATGTTAAGGAAAATATAATGAGAAAAAAAATGGGGAGGTTGATTGGAAAGATTGAACTCACCAGGAGCAAGATAACCGTGAGTGCCAGCAAAAGTGCTGTGCTCAGAAACAATTAGGAACTGATCTGCAACTCTTGCAACTCCAAAATCAGCAATTTTTGGTTCATAATCTCCATCAAGAAGTATGTTGGTTGATTTTATATCTCTATGAATTATAGGTGGTGAACAACCATGGTGCAAGTAAGCAATTCCCCTTGCTGCTCCCAATGCAATCCTGTACCTCTGATTCCAGTTCAATCCAGACTGTCCACCTTTGATCTGTCTCTGAAGTGCTTCACACAGGTTTCCGTTAGTCATATATTCAAAAACTAGATAACTAGATCCTTCCCTCATTAAGCAGGCATAGAGCTTCAAGATGTTTCTATGCCTTATCTTTCCCAGAATCTCCATTTCTGCTGCCAAAACCTTCATTTCATCTCCTTTCCGGAGCTGCTTAACAGCCACTGTACCGCCATTGTTCTTCAGATCCAACCGATAAACTTTTCCCGTTCCTCCTCTCCCTATCAAATTGTCTTCTTCAAAGCTGCATATTTCATCTGCATCAATTTCCACTGGATGGAATGATGCAATTTTCCATTTTGGAGCTCCTTGTTGGTCCCGTTCCTGATTGGTCTCCAGGCGAGTCTCACTGTGCTTCAAGTAACTAAAACTACCAACACTAGCCCTGCTAATACACAAACCAAGATGGAGACTATCATACTGAAAAATACAAGTTTATCCACAAGCACCCCTTTCTGACTATTGTTTCCAGTACAATTAACCCGACTGGTATTTATCCTTTCTCTGTAGTTTTCATCAACACGGAGTTCTTTGTTGTCCAAAAAAGCTTCGTCTCCACTCATTGCTAGAAGACTGGATGGAACTCTTCCAAACAGATGATTTCCCGACAAATCTATCGAACTTAGTTCCATTTTCTCCAAGAATTCTGGGATTTGACCTGTAAGTTCGTTGCTTGAGAGGTTCATCGAGTTCAAAGAGCCGATTAATGAAAATGAAGATGGAATGCTACCACTAAGAGAGTTTTGAGCAAAATTTATGTCCACGAGTCTTTTACAATTACCAATCTCAAATGGGATTGATCCATTCAAAGAATTTACTTCCAGGCGGAATGATGAAAGTTGCCCGAGGAAACCAATTTCAGAAGGTATTTCTCCAGTGAAGTGATTATTACTCAAGTAAAGCCTCTCTAAATTTGTCAACTTGCCCAGTTCTGATGGAAGGTTACCTGAAAACTTATTGTTTTGCAATATCAATTGGCTCAAGCTGGTAGATAGACCAATGTTTGGGGTTATAACTCCAGTAAACTCATTGTCACTAAAATCAATAATTTTTGCACTAGGAAGAGCCCATACCCCATCTGGAATTCTGCCAGACATTTGATTATTATTGATTCTGAATCTTTGCAGTGATTTGCACTCAGCTAAAGAAAGTGGCAGCTCCCCTGAAAATCTATTATCCAGAGCAAGTAAGAACTGCAACTTCCTATTCTCACACAAGAACTTGGGGAAGCCCCCTGAAAATTGATTCTCAGATATGTCGATGCTGAGGAGCGGAGCAAATCTGCCGAAGTTTGCTGGAAATTCTCCAGAAAAATTGTTCCTATAGATTGAAATGGCAATAAGGTTTTGCATATTTTCGAACCCTTCAGGGAACTTACCTGAGAAGTTGTTTTCATACGACTGAAAAACCACCAAATTCCTGAGGTTCCGAACCTCGTCTGGCAACTGCCCATGAAAACTATTGGCAGATATATCAATTTCTTGCAGAAGGGTAAGGTTTGAAATCTCTGGTGGAATTTCTCCAGTTAATTTGTTTTCAAAAAGCTCAAGCTTGTTCAGATTCTGCAACTTGGATATTGACTTGGAGAGTTTACCAGAAAGCTTGTTCCTTGAAAGATCCATTGTCTCTAAGGCCTTCAATTCAAAGAGAGAGACTGGTATTTCCCCTCTCAATTGTGCATTTGCTAGATATAGCCAAGTTAAGTTCTTCAAATTTCCTATTGATTCTGGTATGTCACCAGCCTCAAACTCATTTTCACCAAGTCCCAGAGAATTCAATCCAGTTAAATTTCCAACCCAGATTGGGAATTGGCCAGAAAAGAAGTTGATTGATAGATCTAGAACCTCTAATTTTCTCAGCTGAGAAAGATCAGGAATCCTCCTAACCATTTCACTGTCAGTGAGATTCAATACTCTAATATTGCTACAGTTGATCAGTTGGTAGGGAAGCTCCCCAGAAATGTGGTTTGAGGCCAACGAAAGTATTGTGAGACTTTGCAGAACAAAATAGATGGAGAAATCTCACCAGAAAGCGACTTGTTTTCCAAGGAAATTTCTACGACTTTCCTGGAAACCTGATCACAAGTAATCCCAGAGAATCCACAAGGGGATTCAGAATCAATCCAAGAATCAAGAAAACCCATCGGGTCATTGAGATTCTCTTTGAAACGAAGCAATGCTCGAGTCTCAGTCGGAAGAGGCAAACTTGGAACAAAGAGACTCAAAATGAAGAGAAAGATCAACAGGGAATGAAGGGGATAAACTGGGCTCTTCTCCATTAGAAATGAGACTAAAATGCCAACTCAAGGAGGCTGAGAATCCTCAATATATGTATAATCTAATCCATGATGGATAGTTCCATTCTACTACACTCCAAACACCTGAAATCAGAGGAAAGGAAAAACAAAAACTCCCAAATCATCAACCTTGAAGCTTCAAAAAGCTGGAAATATATTACACAAAACCAGTGTTTGTTTTTGGATGAAAACAAATGAATCAAAGAAGGAAAACCAAAAACAAAAACAGCTGTGTAAGAGGAGACAGAGTTACGTTAGGATGTCATTTTTGCCTGATTTTTCTCCATAATTGATATATGATATTCATGATCAGTAGAAAAGAAGAAAAGAGATTTACTTCAAAGCCACTCATAGCAAAACTATTGCTCATAATGGAAGGAAAGTGGAAAGAAAAAGTTTGCATATCATTCCATATATTGACATACTGCTTTCTCATCTTTAAATCTTACCTGCAGGAAGTTACTTCATCTTGCTCCATGAATCCTCTTCTGTTTTTCCATCTTCCTTCTCAAACAGACCATAAATTCTGACAAATCTTAATGGGTTTCTTATTGTAGGTCTTTCAAGGAAGAACAGAAAGCTTTCACCATACTTTTTGGGGGTAAGAAGAAGGGAAAGTGATGGGTTTCTTGAGAAAGTGTGCTGTTTGGTTGCTGGGAAAATTGTAAGAAACTATGAAGATCATAGAAGAAATGAAAGGAACTTATGAGTAGAAGTGAAGTTCCTTGGATATGCTACTTTCACTCTGGTGGAACGTTACCATAATGAATGAGAACAGGCACTTCAAGCAAGAAGAGAGAGAGAGAAAGAAGAGACATGCAAAACAGGTAAGGAAACTTAAGAAAGCAGCCAGAGAGACTGAGAGAGACCAACTTTGGCGACTTGTGAAGTGCTTTTGTATTGAGATAGGGACGATAATTTATCGAACAAATTCTAAAATTTGCATCTCTAATCACTACAAGGTACAAATATAAGATAGTTGCATCATTTTTTTTTTATATATAGAACGGTGTTAACCTGTCAGCTACACTGTGCAGTTTCATCGATTCATTCCCAGCCAAGGAGAAGAGTTTGCATCTTTTTTTCTTTCGTATATATAACGGTGCTAATCTATCGGCTACATTGTGCAGTTTCATTGATTCATTCCCAGCCAAGGAGGAGAGTTTGCATCATTATTTTTTTCGTATATAGAACGGTGCTAATCTATCAGCTACATTGTGCAGTTTCATCAATTCATTCCCGACCAAGGAGGAGAATTTGCATCATTATATATATATATATATTGGTATATAAAACTGTGCTAATCTGTCGGCTACATTGTGCAGTTTCATCGATATATTTCTCGGGCAAGGAGAGAGAGAGAGGTAAAGTGAACAAACTTTTTTTTGGCCTTCTCATATTTGGATGAAAACATAATAATAATAATTCCACTCCTCTTTTTGATTCTTCCACCGCACCGCTACAACAGATCCTTCCTGTCTCTGGAATGGTACCCAGAGGAGTGGAATCATCAATTTTTGTCTAATCAAATACGCAGCTTTCTCTTTTCTTTATTATTACCCTTTCTTTCAGCCTAATCATTGAATATATTTGAGTTATTCTTATTCCATCTTTTTCCTTTTTCTTTATTTTTTTTTTTTAATTCTTGCTTGTGTCAGACTGGCAGGATTGGCAGGATTGGATTAAAAAAAATCTTTAGTTACTAGATCATTAGTTACTAGATCTTTAGTTACTAGATCATTAGTTACTAGATCATTTTTGGGATATTTAGTTATTAACATATTAATTCACCAATTCACAATTTATCATTAGTTACTAGATCGATGAAAAATCTCTCTAAAAATTGTTCTTTAGCAATCACGTGCTAAAATGAAAGTGTTTTTTTGCCCTATTAACACTTGCTTGACCGAGACCCAAATAGGATTTTTGACCAATTCCACACTGAACCCATATTGGGTTGGAGACTTATCATAAACAAAATTAGTTCAATAATTTACGTTCTTTTTTAAATTAAAAAAATTCGTTAAAAAAAAAACTAAAAAGTCAACTAACCTAAAAAGTAATTTTAGGCAATTCAGGCAATTCAATGGCCCAGTGCCTAAAACTATTTGAGTATGGGCCTTATTTAGGCAATTCAATGGCCCAGCGCCCACCGCACTTGATCTGTTGCTCACTTTTTGGGCTTCGTTTAAATTGTAGCCCACTAACCGGCCCAATGGGCCTACCGTACTAAAGTTATTTTAAATTAATAAAATTACCTTTAACTTTTCACATCCTCTAAAAAAAATAATAACTATAATCTTTCAAATCTTTTAATAATAATCTTAAACTAAAAAAATCTAAGAAATATCTTTACAACATTTAAACAAAATTAAAAAATATGTGTACCATTCGTTTTAGATGAAAACCGTTAATGTTTTATTTAAAAATATTCTTAAATTTAAAAAAAATATTTAAACAAATACCATTAAATGTAAAAAAAAAAAAAAAATTAACAAGCTTATTTATTTTTTTTTTTAAAAATACCTTTAAACTTTATTAAAAACGACAAAAAGACCTTTAAATTAAAAAAAAAAAATTAAAAATACACTTATTTATTAGTAACACGAGGGTTCAGGGTTAGATGAATTATTTTAATATGCATATACAAAATATTTATTTTGATTTTTGTATTTTTAAAATTTTATGATTTTAAAAAATATTTAAATCTATCGATTTGGTATTTTTAAGGGCAAAAATAATAATTTTTTAAAAGTTGAGATCAGAATAAATGTTCTTAAAGATAATTTTTAAAAGCATTAAAATTAAAATGAATTAAGAATTCATTAAAAAAAAAAACCTACGAATTTATTTGTTTCTAAATGAAAATTATTAAAAAAAAGGAAGGAAAAAAATCCAGCTGTTTCTCAGTTTTCAAAAATTTCGAACGCCAAAAAGGTCATCGAAGAATCTAGAACAAAATGGCGCGATCCAAATCCATCATTATTTTCCTTTTCAATGCACAGATGCGCTGAAGAAATTATTTGGATTCCATAGTCCATCAGGAATCATCTCTGCAATTCGACGACGAAATCGAGACCTCGAAATTGAAATCCGCAGCTGAATCTCTGAGATCGGCATTTATCTTGTGAAGCTTTGATCAAATCGAAGTTTTCTAGTCGGTTAAGTTGGTGAATTCTTGTTCGAACTGTTTCAGTTCAATGGCTGTGGGACTGGAGGAGAAGTCGGAGAGGAAGGGTGGAGTAGCGCTTTATTTTCCTGCAAATGACGACGAGCCTTCGCCGGCATCGTCATCTACTCCTCCCAAACTGCCTCGCAGGCTTAGCCGTCGCCTAATGGAGTCTAAGGCGCCGTCTACTGCGGAAGAGATTGAAGCCAAGCTCCGAAAGGCTGATCTCCGTCGTCAGGTTTCTATCTCGGGCCCTATTGTTCTTATATACGTATTCCGATTGTTTTTCTTTCTTCAGTATGACGTGCCGTACTGGATAAAGATAGTCCAACCTTGATTTGTTTTGAAGGAAGTTATAGAATTTCTTTTTGTCGGTTGCCCCAAAATAAAAACCAAGAAATGCTAAGCGACAACCTTCGACGGGTGCTCTTTTCGTTCGAATTACAATAGACTTCGATTTCTTCTGTAGAAAAGTTGTTCCCGACTCGTTCATGAGTCGTTTCAGTTGTTTTCCCTCTTCAGTTTTTTTTCTTTTTTTTAGAATATAAGAACGTTATTTATATGTGCGAGTAGGCCAAGAGACAAAGAGCTGGGTATTCGATGGAGAGACGAAGAACAAGTGATATTGTTCGTGCTAATATGAAAGGGATGCCTAAGCAGGACCCAGCGGCAATTATAGCAAGGTACAAGATCCTTATACTGCTTCATTTTTTGAAGTCTATTATAGCCTGTTTACTATAATCTTAAAATTTCCCATTAAGACGTTTGGGATGTTAGAGTTGTCTTAATTTCGACTGCTTGGTATGATTCGGTCTTTACCTGTGGTATTGAAAGTTTCGACATGGTGATCAAGTAACACAGTTTGATCATTTATGTTATGCATCTTGCGATCAAGATAAGAGTGGCAAAAGAGTAGTTCTACATCTTCTTTGGCGTATTTTAAGCTTTTGCATTTTATTTTTAGTCTGTATTGCTTGAAACCATGCTCTTGCATCGTATTTGAAGTTATCGAAGGTTGAGAAACCATGCTCGAAAATCCTTGCATTCCTTTCACACCATAGATGCGGGAGAAAGTTCTGTTTATCACCAATCATAATGTCTTTTTTGCATCATGGAAGGGAAGTTTCACAAAGACCAGGGCAAGAACACCAAATATTTCATTTGGTAAAACTACAGACCAACCAAAAACTTCCAAAATTGAAAGGCATAAGAACAATGGGCAGATGTGAAGGATGCTCTAATTTAAAAAAAAAAAAAAAAAAAAAGAACACATCACACACCATGAAGGTAAGATGCCATCTCATTTTCCTTAGCAACCGATCAGCTGCATTAATCCCACCAAGATTAAGTTTCCATAAGAAATTTTTTATTTTCTTAGGATAAGAGTCCTTCCAAATCACCGAAAAGAGGTTGCTCAAGTCAGGAACAATATCATGAATTTACTCACTTGAGAGCTGAGCTTTAATTGTGAATGCTTTGGTGAAATCAAGAGGTCATAGCCAAGAGTCATTCACCAAACTTTACAAGATTGTTGAAAGAAGATGAGATAAACTAAATCATGAGAAGAAGTCCAAGCCTGTTCAACTGTAATACTTGGCTGGTAGACAGTTGAAAAATTCTAGGAAAGGCTGTAGTAGCTACCCCATAATTCAACTAGGAATCATGCCCAAAAAGACGTGAGAGTTCCATTGCCAAGACGTCTTTGCACCTGCAAAGCAACAAGATCTATGGTAGAAGAAATAAACCTCCTATGTGATTTAAATGAACCTCTAAACATTTGTGTTGGCCATATAATCGAAAAATCTGATTGATGCCCATGTTGTTTCTTCTTCTATATAAGAACCGATTGAAGGAAGTAATATGGGAGAATAAATTCATGTTCCCTTTGTTGGTGGGCAAGTATGCTTAGGGGCTGGAACATCAATTTGAGGCATCAAGAGTAAGAGTAGAAGAAATGGTTGGCCTTAGGAGGATTTGGAAGAGAAAGAAAGATTTGAAACCTAATGCTATGCTGTGTAATTGTGACTATTTCTATTGTTGTCAAGGATACTGGTTCAGTTTTAGCTTGACTCTGTATCTATGCTTTGCCTGCTTACTCTCCCTTCAGTTATCATTCATCTCTTTTTCCTGTGAAATATTATGAATTATAATGCAATCTGTCCCATCTTCAGGTGCTGGAGGAGTTTTGTACAAACGAGAAAAACTACTTTTGCTTTGGCAAAAGCATTTCAAGCATTAGATATTACAAAAGAATCTGTGAAGTCTATGGAATTTGAGCAGCTTGCTTCTAAGATCAATGCAACTGCAACCATACAAACTGTAAAAGCATTACTTGTTCGCTTAGAGAGTAGATTCTCAATCTTGAGAACAACTTCTGGAAATAAATTAAGTATGGAGAAGGTAGATCACCTTCTCAAGCGTGTTGGATTTCATGGCAGAAGCAGTAATCAAGTAAACAAGACAGGTAGATCACAGACTATTGGCTTCGGGAAAGCTGCAAAGGTTCCCTGTAAATTATCTAGGTACACTGTCAAAGTAGTGCTTTTTGCTTATATGATATTGGGGCATCCGGAGACAGTTTTTATTGGGAAGAGTGAGTTTGAAAATGCATTGCTGGAGTCAGCATCAAATTTTGTTCAGGAATTTGAGTTGTTGATTAAGATTATATTGGAGGGTCCCTTACGAACCATGCATGAGGAGCAATCTTCA